CTCTTGCCCCTGACATTCAATGTATATACATGAGTTAAAAAGTACTCGAAATTGACTCAGAACACACAAAAAACAAAAAACAAAAAATAAAAAAATAAAAATAAAACGCAGAAAAGCAAATTAATAGGCACACAATGCAGGAATAGATATAATTGCCTATATTATCACCTAATACATCACCTCCGAAACTCATCGAGTCCGGAACAAATGTGCGATCCTGATCACCACAAATGAATACTTGTTAGTAGTGTCAGAAAAATCTCATTGTTTGAAGTATAGGCCTACCACAAGGGAGAAAACGGACCTTGGGTGTGCCTGGGGTTTCGTACGGACTATCACGATAAGATGAGCCTTCTGCCTCCTTATATTGTAACTGACAACCAAAAGTTTTACTTATGTCATATAAATAGATAACCGAAGAAAGATGCACTCTTTAATTTTCAAACTGCAGTTTAACGACCAATGGTTTGCAAGTAAACAAAAATGAAGTTACAACAGACGAATAATGCCACAGTTGCTCAAATTCATTCAAAAGGCAGTACATAAGAGACCATAAAGCAGCTTAATGATGGAAATTAGAAAACAGACCCCAACATTTAGAGATACACCCATATATCAACGATACACATGGAAGGGGATATTGATACACTCTAAATTACAATGAATAAGAACAGTAATTCAAAACGAAAAACAATCATAGCTGAGCAATACCTGTTTCTGAAGATTCAGTAGCGTCAGTATTTCTTTTCTTAATTCAAGATGATGTGAACAAACAGCTTTAGTTGGAACTCTTGGCTTTAAATTAACCTGTAAAGATAAATCCAAACTTTAAACTCTTTTCTTCGTATAAAGACATTCAAATGATTTGATGCTCTGAATATAAATCAGTACATGTCAATATCCATGATTAATGAGAACCAAAAGATCCAGTTGAGCTTAGTTAAGAAACACTTTTGAAAAAAACTAAAAATGAGCAAACAATGATATCTATGCACAAACACCAAAAACCCTATCAAGAACCAAAAGATCCAGTTGAACTTAACTAAGAAACACTAAAAAACACTACTATAAATGAGCAAACAAGGATATCTAACCTTCAAATAAAATTCAATACACTGAGCACAATCACCAAAAACTGCAAAGCATGTCTTCAATGATAATTCTAAAAAAATTTACAACCGAAAGTAATTATCTAGAAATTCATCCAGATTTCTAACAAGGAGCAAGATTTGTGATAGGGACACATTTCACTGAAACTGAATTTACTAGTGATTTAGATCTAGCATGATAAGGTAAGAAAAATTGAAAGCTAATTTTTGAACATCAGGAAACATACATGGTAGCATATAATGAATCTGAAAAACAGCAGCACAAGATAAAAATATACTACCAAGTGGGGCAATGAAATAAGGATCTACATTAAACCATTAGTTCAAGTACTAATACAGACCCCAAGTTCTTGCAAACTTTGCTCAACCCGCTTGATAGTCCGAAGTCCAGCAGACGAGCTTGCGGCTTGGATCATTTGGTCAAGCGCATATGTTCTAAGATACACCCGGAGCTGAAAATTTTCTAAATCAGTCAGACAATACACTCAAGAGTGGATATTGTGCTTGCATATTTCAAAGACTCTATGAAAAATTTATCTAAATAACCATAGGAGTAGTCATATTTTGAAGTGAGTCAAGAAGCAGTTCACAATTTTCCTTTGAGAGAAAATGCTTACAAGCAAAAGACTGAAAAAAGAAAAATTCATGCAGTAACTTTCAAAAGAGCAGGAAGGAGATAGAATGAAATTTGGTAAGTCAGTTAAACATACCATTTTGAGAGAACCTAAAGTAGAGGCATTCTCTGCCATCAAAGTTGAAGGTGCAACTGTTCCAGAGGGGAACTGAGAGTTGGATGAAGGTGATACAGTCTCGCCAGGAACGAGAGCCCTCTCATTATTTTCAAGGCCATCATTCAATGTAACAGGCAACTCCAACTCTTTAGCACTCTGAAAGGCAGAAAAACCAAGTATATCAATATGCACAATACTCAGAGGCATGCAAAATATTGCTCATTCTGATTTTATACCACCAGTAAATTGGCACAATAGGATTTCTATAAGCCTCCCACAAGTTGAAATCCACTAAGAGATATTTTTACGAACTTAAGTAAATAGTACTAAGGATTATTAAATGGATACTGGAAAACCTGTTAAGTTCAAGAAAAAAAATTCAGAAAACAGTGTATAAATCCCATGTGAAAATAAATATCTTGATATCACTTAGAATCTTATTCTATATAACATAAAATGTATCTATCTGTAAAAAGCTTTAGAAATTTTTAAATATGTTAAACAGTTGGCTCACAATTCCAGCCACAACTCAATCCTTCCATATTAATTAATGTTAACAAATGATAATTATTATTGCTTAGAGAAGCAAATTTTAATTTTACAACATTCATACAAATTATGCTAGAACTAAACGAAAATTGAAAAAATTTCAATGCAAAATTCAAAAAGAAAAGAGGAAAATCCAAAACCAAAAGAAAAAGGATAGTTATGGTGTAATATGGAGCATGATGCTTTGGAAAAGCACCGTGCTTCATGCTCCCCGCACTCTTGGAGCCTCTAGCAACTACAGTTTCCTAAATGATTATGAACTCACCATAAAATTAAAATAAAGCATACTAGCACATTTAACTGTAAACTTACCCTAGCAACCATGCGTGCCTCAGCTATTCTTTTGGCTTCAGCAAGAACCTAAGAAAATGTAAAATGGATCAAACAAGTTAATGATTATACATCCATTTGAAAAATCAAACTTCAAATTAATGTCAGAGGGCCACAGATAAGATTCAATCACTAAAAGATTCAAAGATGAAATTTAAACCTCAGCATCTTTTCTCTCTTGGTGCTTTGTTTGAGAGAGGACCATGGATAGTGCTCGCTTGCGCTCTCTCTCTTGTGCAACTTTATAAGGTTCCTAAACCGAGAGAAAATAAGAAAAACCCAAAACAGGGCACTAATGTGATGTAACATGCAAAGCATAAACATGCTGGTACTTAAGAAAAACAATGAACTAATAAAAAGGGCAGGCCAGTCAACAAGTCTGCTGCCAATGCGGGGTCTACAGAGGGCAAGGCATACGCAGTCATGACACCGTTCCCGGATAGATTGTTTCCGCAAACCAAAAGGAATGAATATTCACTTAAAATTTCGGTTGATAAAGCTACACACCTTAACAATAGGATGCCCTGAAACATCTGCAGGGGATGCCGCTCTAGCCATTAATATAGCTCGAGATACTACAACAAATAGTGGGGTAATCATCATCATCAAAACCAAGTTCAATAATCTTCCTCAGACAGTGAATCAGTAAAAAATCCAAGCATAGAAAAGCATAATAAGAACATCATGAAAGTGAACCAAACAGTGAGTAATAACATTCTAGTCAAGCAAAAAGACAGACAAATACCACTGTAATAGCGATCCTTCAATTCCTCCACAGTACGAGATGACGGGAACCTGTCTGCTATCACAATGAAGCGGAGATCAAACCGCTGACACATGTCAAACAATTGATCCGTCTCCTCCTTCGTCCAAATCTAATGAAGACAAAATATATTAACAGAGAATGAGGCACTGAAATCATGATGCAATGACGCACAATGAAAAACATTCTCAGAATTAAATTAAATAATTATCCAAACAAAATCTAGATTTGATACCTACAGGATCAGTCAAATACTTCTCATACTCATCATCTGTGTATTTGACAACATCCACGGACTGCACAGAATTTGACAAAAACAAATGATAATTAAAAATAAGCATTCACTTACAGTATGAGACAAAGAAAAATTCTATGTCCTTAAGAAGAGGGACAATCCTTTCCCAGCACAGTTAAGGAGACTTGTGCATACCTTGTTATACTTGGCAAAGGAGTAGTCACCTGTAGGTGGGACACCATTTACAACTCTAACCTGCAAAGTACAAGAAAAAAAAGACATATTCAGAGCCCAACTGAAAACAAACAAACACGGAGTTTGGAGGCACATTACATAAGGTACAAAAACTTACCCAGTGGTAAAGCTGTAAATTATCTTTCCGAGCAGAACTTGTAAACGGAAGCCACTGCCAAGTGATCTGAAAGCATTATGACAAGAATTCTCATTATTGATTGTGGAAGAGAAGCATAGGATAAAAAATAACACTAAATAAAATCTGAAATCGGCTACACCTACAAGCAATTCAAACCTAACACAGTGATATATTCCATAGTCTCCTGTCTATAAATCCACCATCTTTTACACTTTTGGTGATCCTAAAAATGTGAGTACATAGACTAATGATCAACTAAATAACCTTCTCATCGGTTGGTGGCCGTTTTTTCAGCTGCGATGTTTCCACTGCAGGCATAAGAGGTGGCACGCCACCTATAAGCGCATACACCTACAATTCCACATGCCCGAAACACATTTTCAGTTCAAATTGTAATCATTCAAGACCGCGAACCCAAAGTTTGAGAAAAAAAAAAGCATGCATTATGATCGAAATTAGTTAAATTTAAGCGGAATTCGACAAACCCTAAAAACACAAACCTACCTCACGCGAAATGCCATCTGGTTTTCGCTGAGATTCCTTCGGGGGCCGAGATTTCTTCTCCTGGGATAAGGGATGCGCGGTTTTGGGCAAGCCCAAAATGTCCTTGGCATCCATTTCGATTTTCCCCAAAAATTAGGGTTTTGTTTTCTTACTTGCCGTGGGACTTGTTCGTGTTCGCCAAGAATGCGAATTCACAGCACATGTGAAACAACTACTGCTTCCTTGATGGAATTTTGGATTCGAAATGCGTGGATATGTAGTTAGGGTTTTGGATTGTTGACGAAAAATGGGTTTGGGGATTGGTAAGTTCGTTGCGTTTTCGAGCGCGAAAGTTTTGACTTAGAAGGAACCTGCGGGGCCTTATTCCTTCCCACACAGGTGACTAACAGCGAGCTTTAGATCTCGGTGTGTCCTTGATGCTTGTGTAACTACCAATTGGATTTTGACTAAGATTGCTTCGGCCCAAGTTGGCTGATCCAGAATGCGGCCCATCTATTTCGGCATTTTTTTCTTTTCTTTTTTCCCTATTCGATACATTAGTATGGTCGAACCAAAGATCTATTCTAATTCTTCACCTTCCCTCGCCATTAGGGGGTTTTGTGTGTGTGTGTGTATGTGTGAACAAAAGGCCATAGAATTTTATTAAATCAGTAGGAAGAAAGAGTATAAATGACATAGAGTGTAAAGGGAGCGATCCTAATAGCAATATGGCAGATATGGGTAAAAACACCCCAGTGATCCGAGCCATCGGAAAAGCTGAAACGATCTGGAGAGAATAACTATCGAAAATAACTTTTATATAACTCATTTCTACCGTCATAGTTTTCTCGAATCTAGTCCAATGATATCAATGACAAAAATAGCTGCTAAAATCACCTAGGAAACTCAACTATATTTATGAAACACCTAGAACATTTGTCAGCAATCAAATACCACTAGACTTTAAGTGAGTTTTTTCTTTTCTATAGCATTATTAGAGCAAGAGTTAATTGGTGGTTTATTTGGTCTCTTTTAAGATTGAGATATTCTCTCCACATCTAAAAATGTGATCAAAACTCCTAATTGCTCAAGGTGTGGTGGTCATAATGAAAAGGTCCGAATGCTGATGTAGTATATGCTCGTCAACCATCCCAATTATTATTAGGGTTATTTGTAGCAATGGTCCCTCAACTATACTCAGAGTTACATTTTAGTCACTCAACTTAAATATTAGTTACAGAGGTTATTCAATTGGGTGTTGTGTTACACCATTAGTCCATACCGTCAAGTCTTTCTAACGGTAAGGACTAATGGTGCAACACAACACCTAATTAAGTGACCTCTATAACAATTTTTTGGAGTTGAGTGACCAAAATGTAACTCCGAGTATAGTTGAAGGATCATTGCTACAAATAATCCTAACTAAAAAGTCACATTTGCCCATCAATAATCGAATAGATGCTTGTCACGTCATCATTTTAAACAGAAAAAATCACAAACTTGACGGTAGGGATTAATTATGCAACACAACACCCAATTGAGTGACTTCTGCAACTAATATTTAAATTGAGTGACCAAAATGTAATTTCGAATATAGTCAAAAGACCATTGCTACGAATAACCCTTATTGTTATTTTATAATCTGAAAAAGAAGACATGGACGATTAGTAAGTTTGAAAACTAAAGATAAACAAGTAGTAAAATTTGAAGAAGCGAATCTTGGTTCTTTTCTTGTGGCTGATCTTCCAACTTTAATTTATCTATCATTGCTTGTCATTTATCAAGACCAATTACATCATCACTTATTCTTCTTTTTTATATTCATTAATATTATTGCATGTTGGTATTTTTTTACTAATACACTAATCCTCCCAAACGATCCAAGCTCAGCCACTAATTGACACTTATTATGAGATTGTAAGTCCACCAACCATTGCATGTAGTGGAGTGGTTTGCGTCCAAACTTGGACGGGTGCTGTCTAATAATTCTCCTAACAAAGCAAAACTTCTCCAAGCCCCGATGGGTGATGTATATATTATCACAATTGGGTGTTAGTTGAATTGGTTTAGATTTTTTATATGCTCTCAAGTGATTTTGCGTTCAAGTTCCGATGGTATCTGTGTGTGTGTGAGCTTCCCCCCTCCCCCTTTGTAACTTCGGCCAAAAAACAAAATAGTGTGAAGTTGTTTTCCTAGCTAACAGCTGGTTTGATAAACCATTGTGTTCTGGTTAAACTGTTGAATTATTATCCTTATTAAGGTGTGTTTAGCACAAATCAACTAATTTCCCATTTGAAATAATGGCTAATTACAGAAAAATGAGGAAAATTTAACGCACCCCAAATATCTTTTCTTATTAGCAAAAAATTATATATAAATCCCCTAACAAAACCCTAATTTTTGTTCTTCAAATTCAGACGAGGAAGAGCTCAACATGTCTTAAATCATACTACACATGGAGCATTTCTCTGGATTGCAAAGGGATCTAACACACATGCCAAAAACCCGTGTATGAGGACAGCAGCAATATTTAGTATTCATGACATAAGCCCAGTCACCCATAGTGCACTGCTAATTAACAAGGCTTAATTATAATTAATTAATTGATACGTACATGAAATGAGAAATATTCCATGGCCATCGATGAAGCCATGAGTGATAAGGACTCAGAGATCACATACATGATTGCCATATGGCGAGCGTGGAAAACTGCAGAACCCACCGGCTTTTGTCACATCTCATATGGAATTTCCTCTGTGTTTCACTCGTATGGAATTTCTTTAATGCCTTTTGTCTGGTCTACATGTTTCGAGCTAGCCGGCCTTGAGCCTTAAATTAAGGGTCGTGCTTCATGGAAAACACAGGCACTGGAGACCGACAAACCCATTTCTATATGTTTTTATCTTCTTAATTTATTGTTACTTTCCTGCTAAACTACTGCTAACGCTTTGTGGATTTTCTGAGACTGTTTCTAGTTCTTTCTCTTTAGTTAAATAATGAACTATCCAGGGTCAATCAAAATATAAATATCACTTTCAAACTGTACTAATCGAATCATTCTGTTAATTGATGATAATTATTAAGATCTAAGCATCAGGTTTATCCAATAAATAAAGAGGTACATGGATATTTTTTAAAATTTTCATTACAAATGATATCAATGTTTACATGAGTGACTAATGTGTCACTACATCACTTATCATGTTGGGTTCGGGGATGGGGATACTCGGTCTGTCTCAAATCGGGTATTTTGAAAAATCAAGGATTCTCGTACCCGCCCTTGTTTTTCCCCCAAAATCTTCCCCTGTTAGAGCCGAGGACCCAACCTGATGAGGATTTTTGCCAATACCAGTTCATAAAAGACTCATAGTTAATAGATAATAATTCTATACACAAAATATATCCAATTTAATCCTAACTTTCCCTCGACATCTTTTTCACAACCAAGCCTCTAAAAACCATTCTTGCGCATTCATTCCCAAGTGTGTTTGAGGTTTCTCTATGAGTACGCAATACATTGACAAACATATAGCTATATGTTAGGCTTCAATGTATCCACATGGCTTATTTGCATATCTCCTTTGCACAAAAGGTGTGGGGGCAAATAAAGTCTAAAAGATAGCGTAAACATATATCCAACATGATACAGTTGTATCCCAAAACACCCTTGCAAAATCACATTGAAAGAACACGTAAATTTGTGTTTCATCTAAAAGAACACTTAAATTTGTGTTCCATTTGGTGCACCACAAAAAACACATACATTCTCTACTTGCATTCACATTCTCCATAAGTTATGAAGAACAACCAACGTATTTATGCAACACCACTAAATAAATTGATGTAGAATAGTTAGCGGAGATGATCGAAGAAGAATTGGAGTGACGCACACATGGGCAAATTGGATAAACTGCAATTGGGTGCCGAGCTCCAATTTGGACCCATAACTCGCCATTACAAAAGGAGCAACACCATGAGTCTCACACACAATAAAGAGCTCCGACGAGTAAAGGGGCACTAGTGATGTACCTTGCAATTACCATACTCAAAGTAGTCTAGAGCTTTAGATGCGTGCGTACTTTGATATGCTCAAGACAATGTTTTATATTGTAGTCCTTTAGGGTCTTTTTATGAGTTGTAAACCAAGCTTTGGTGTAACTCTAAATCTAAGTGAGAATCCAAGGATAAAGATCTCCTTAGCCGTACTGGCTCTTAAGTCCTACTCCAAATCCAAGTAGATTTGGGGTGTGAAATAGGCAAGTCTTAAGGAGGTTCGGGCTTGAATTCTTTCCACTTACGAATCGTATCCAAACCTAATAATTACAAGACATAACAGATTTCAACCCACTACTTTTACATTAATCCTTTTAACTTAGATGATAGTGTAACATTGTATGGCCCCACAAGTGACCCCAATTATTATTTCTCCAAATGTGAACACTTGAACGATCAACAGAAAACATTACTATAGTGTTTATTTAAAGCATAACTTTCTTCACTAACGAATTACTTATGTTAAAATTCCTTTCTTTTAGATAAAAATAAATAATTGAAAAACGAGTTAACCAAAGCGCACGTAAAATTGTAGCAATAGATTGCCTTGTAATTGTTTGATTGAGTGCACAATTGAGAGTAAGCACATGCTACATCCTTTGTAGTAAGGCAAATCGAAATAAAGATGAGAAAATTAGTATTAGTTTAACTTATATATTCTAGTTTTCAATAGATTTATTAGACTAAAACAAATGAAGATGAAGATTAGATAAATTTATTAGCCAAAATGGAATCATTACCGAAAACGAGAAGCATCAATTATCGAACATGGCCTGACCATCAAAGTTGGAGGGGGGAGCATACGGTACCCACAAAGCATGCAGGTAACCCCTCGGACATTGCTGTTTGATAAATTTATTCAGTCTTATTTTGAACTTTCGAAAATTTCATAATCTACTGGCATAAAAAATTGAGTGAGAAGACAAAAGGTGCACGTGTGGGGAGTGAAAGCTGAAAAAGTCAACAATCATCAAAGAAACATACGCGTAACAATGGCCTGACAGGTGCTTTTAATTTAAGCCCCCAACTCTTTTTGAAAAGTGTTTTTAACAAAATCCCAATTAGAGGGGACAAACAGCCGCTACCAGCCTGTACCCCAACCCCTTCTTCCTTCCTTCCTTATCACACACACACGTACACTGTGCAACTCCCTAACGTTCCTTCACATCTTTGAGCCCTCAAAGTTAAAAATCAAAAATAATAACAATTAACAAGTATATTATATGGTAAGTATATGTGTTAATTACTAGAAGGTCAATAATTGATGTCCTAAGTGAATCTCACCTGCCACTAATGCACTCTTAAAAAAATGATCCGTCTAGCATTATTTTATTTTTCTTTTTTTTTCTAAGAGAATCTCGACGGAACGAGAAGTCTAGCATTATTTTATATTTATGTTTATATATACTTATTTTAGACTCCAAGGTGCCATGCGATATATACAAACTTCCCATGTCTTGTAACTTATGCTGCCTGGTTCGAAATTATAAACAATCACCCACTTCCCCTACCTAGCATAAATAAAAACAATAATAATAATAGTCATCTCTCTCTCTCTCTCTCTCTCTCTCTCTCTCTGTGGTATATATAATAGCACCAGCTCAACCACGATCACACCTCCAAAGTACAAAGTTCAAACTCAAATTCCTTATCTTGGATCACCTTGTTTTTCTCTTCATAATATTAATTCTTTTAATCTTCCAGCTGAAACAGAAACAAGCAATGGTTGTACCATCTCCTTCACCAATACGAACCAAGAAAACCAAGGCAGTAGGAATTCCCACAATCGATCTATCAAATTACAATAGGTCAAAGCTATCGGAACAAATTGTCGAGGCCTGTGAAGAGTATGGTTTCTTCAAGGTGGTGAACCACGGCGTCCCGAAAGAGGTCATTGAGAGAATGGAAGCACAAGGTGCTGATTTTTTCGCCAAACCCGCCATGGAGAAGCAACGAGCTGGCCCGGCTTGTCCTTTTGGTTATGGCTGCAAAAACATTGGCCGCAATGGTGACATGGGAGAGCTTGAATACCTTCTCCTTCAAACCGATCCTCTCTCTGTTTCCGAGAGATCCAATGCCATCTCCAACGAGCCTACAAAATTCAAGTATGTTTTTCTTCATCTTCTAATTAATTAGTATACACACATGCATGTCACATATTTATATTTCTGAAAAACAATGATAAAGAACAACATAAAGCCTTGAGAGAAGTGGGTTTTCGGTTTCTGTTTCTTCAAGCAGGTTCGCGGGGTTCATGGTATTAGTAAGTTTATGGCGTGTTTGAATGAATTTCTTGAATTTGATGAATTGTAATGATATAATGCCATTATAAATATAGCAACATTACTTGAAATCATGGCACCATTGGCCAACAAAGGAGGGAGGCAGGGAATTGATTTGCAGATGAATCCTTGGTATCCAGATTAGAGAAGGACATATTTCCTTATTGGAAAAAGAAAGGATTAAAAAAAACCAGACTTCATAATCCATATTTATTTAATAACTCTTTTGTTGTCAATTTATTATTATTATTATTATTATTATTTTTGTTTCACGGACATAGCTACCTCATAATAAAGAATTCTAGACCTTCAAATTATTAGTTGGATCCGCTTATTCTTTTCATGGTTTGTTAATGCCAGGGCACCAAATATATAATATAATAGCTTTGACTTTCATACAGACTTTTTTTTGGGGTCATGACTCATGCATATACCGGACTCTTCTGGTTGAGAAATTCTGTTTTTCCACCGTAATATCACATGCTATGCTGACTTAGAATTATAAATTTATCGAAATTATAATACGTTATTAATATTTAATTTTAAAATCGACAGAGATAAATCACACTATGTCACGTGTTATTATTACTGTTCCGAAAATCGATAGAGATAAATCACTCTTGAATATAGATTGAGGCTAACCATTTTAGGGCCCGACTTGAGTAGTTTGAAAATTTGAACGTCATCTCAATGAGCTTAGATTTCTCATCATCTTATCCTGTTCTCGTTGATCTGCAACATTTTGATGAACAGTAGTTGCTCTCCATTTGATACATTTGAAGAACTGGGGTCATCTTTTTGTACTGAATGCTAGCCAATCTGTGAATGAAGCATGTGCATGTGGTTACAAATTGACATGACTGTTTGGATCCATCTTCTATGTATTCTCATCTTTTCTTGCATGAGCCGAGTATGAGACAGCTTGAATTTATTGGCAAACATTTAAACCATGCATTTCCAATTCCATTGAGTACACAAAAACAAGAGAGTTTATATATGCTCAGGCAGGCTTGCATGGGACCCCATGTTCGACTGTGGGACTCCCACTTTTCTCGGTAACCAGGGGGGCCATACCATTATTTGCATGAAAATTTAAACAATCAATCATATATATGTATACATTTTCTATGATAACTACATATATAGCTTTGCAAATCATCAAAACGTAAAAAGAAAAGTTGAATGGCATAATCCATCCCTTTTGCTAATACTAAATTTGTTGTGTATTTTTAATTTTGAAGTAATGAATAATGATCAATATTGTTTGAATTAATCCAGCTGTGCAGTAAATGATTACACAGAAGCAGTTAAGGAATTGGCATGTGAGATTCTTGATCTGGTGGGTGAGGGGCTATGGGTTTCAGACAAGTCTGTGTTCAGTAGGTTCATCAGAGACGTCCAGAGTGACTCAATTCTGAGGCTTAATCACTATCCTGCGGTGAAGGACCCATCACCAAAACAACAGCTTCATCCGTATGGTAACAATAATAGGATTGGATTTGGAGAGCATTCTGACCCTCAGATCTTGACCATCCTAAGATCCAACAACGTGGGGGGCCTTCAGATTTCACTGCATGATGGCTTGTGGGTTCCCGTCCCTCCTGACCCCAATCACTTCTTTGTAATGGTTGGTGATGCATTACAGGTCAGTAACACCAATTCTTTCTTTTTATTTCCTCAACATATATGTACCAATTTTCCATCATATTTAATTTAACACAAAAGTTCTAGTGAATTATGACTCGGAAAAGTATATAATTCTTTTTCATTCACTAGTTTATTAGATTAATTATGATTTGAAAAAGTAAAATTTCTTTATCACTAGAAAATGAAAGTCAAACCCCCCTCTATCTCTCTCTTTCACACCACACACGCACGTTGGGTATGAGAATCATTTCTTTTTAAGGTTAAAATGTAGCAATGGTCCCTCAAGTAAGACCCCAATTTGCTTCAATGATTTTCTTCAATGATGATGTATTAACGGAGGGCCAAAATTAGAATCTAATTTAACACTAATACAAAATGTTGTCTTCAATGATGATGATGTAATTTTTAATATTTTCAAAAGTAAATTCAAATTACGCGTAATCACTCGAAAGTCATACATAAATTTCAAACTTGTGCAGCGTAATATATTAAGCATGTAATATTAATGTTATTTTGTTTATAATCACCAGGCTTTGACGAATGGGAGGTTAGTAAGTGTGAGACATAGGGCATTGGCAAACTCAGTTATGAAGCCAAGGATGTCGATGGTGTACTTTGGGGCACCACCCCTAAATGCATGGATGTCTCCACTTCCGGAGATGGTGTCGCCGGAGAAGCCCAGCCTCTACAAGCCCTTCACATGGGGCGAGTACAAGAAAGCAGCATACACTACACGATTGGGAGATTCACGTCTCGACCATTTCAAGATTAATAATAATAATAATAATAATCACACCTGCAACGATCAAATTCCATGTCCATGCTTGGACAATCTTGTACAATAATATTATTAGAATATATATAGTTGTAATGTACGTATATATGTATGGCTAGCTAGGTCACAATGGTAGTTGAAATTGAAGGTTGATGGGGAAATTTTTGCTTTGATATATATTTAAGCACTTCCCCATTTATTTATTTCTAGTTGCATGTTGATTTGTTTGAATATCAATGCATAAGACTAGCTAGCTATGTATAGGAAGGTCTGAAAGTAAAACTAGTATGCCAATGGGTTCCCCCTTTCCCCCATGGCACCCCAGTTCGAACTCCAATGTAACCGGAAAAAAAAAAGGAAAAAAAAAAAAAAACTAGTAGCTTAATTAATGTACGTGGGAGATTACTTGTACGTTTGTATTTTCTACCCCTTTGTAGCATTTTTTTGCACGTCTTCTTTGGTCAATTTAGTTGGCTGGATAAATTAATCGGGTCAATTAATTTTACTGGATGAATAATTAAAGGGAGTTTCACTAAAACACCCAAAATGGGGGTTGAAATTATAAAAAAACCCAAGCACTATTTAAACATATAAACACACCCAAAACCCATCATTACACACACTCAAAACCCATTTATAAACACATCCAAAAAGTTGACTTTGGGGTTGATTTTGGGTGTGTTTCTATGTTTAAATAGTGCTTGAGTTTTTTTATAAATATATGTCTAGGATTGGGTTTATTTATAAATTTGTAATAATTAAACTCATATGAGCCCAGTTTTTTTATTTTTGTTATTGCAGCACGTGTTGGTCCACGGTCGTCGGTTTAACATTAGGTACACCTAGGAAAATTACATGATACCAACGTGTGAGCTCGTGTGGATCAACTAATTTGTTTCAATATCACAATCATGTTGGCTTACATTTTAGGTCCACTAGATGCAGACATTGGGACATATGTATGCGCACGCGTACAGTTTTCCGGTACAATCACGTTACATGTACAGTTTTCATAGGACGATTATTTTGTCCACAAAAAATATGCATGCATATAAAACTCAGTTTCTTTCTTTACAAAATCAAAAAATCTCAACTAAAAAATTATCTTCCCAACTTAGGTATCCCCATTAATCATTAAATGTTTTAGGAGCTATTGTCCTTGAACTTTGTATCGACTTGAGCTTTAGTCCCTCAACCCCATTTTCGTTTGTAACAAAAGTCCTGGAGTTCTTGTTACTTTTTAATGAAAGGAATATCATGAACATTTTGTTGTTTTAGTTGAAACATTGTGTTTGTCTATTTGTTGTGCTATTGTTAGATGACCAAATAATTTTGAATTTCGGTGATTTTTTTAAAAAGGACGATCCTTAAACGAGATCCTTAAAAATGAATGGTCTAAATCATCTAATTGCACTCGCTTTTCTCGATCACTTTTACGAATAGTACAACGAGATCCCTTTAATATTGTACACACACAACTAAGAAAGAGAGTATCTATGAAAAGGTTGTAACTTAAAGAGAGACTATGAGACCCATAAACTTAGAGCACTCAAGTAACAACAATGATGAGTTGAGGGGAGAAAAGAGGAGTTCTTGATTTGAAGATTTGATCTGGGGGGGAAGAAAAACTTGTGAGTGTGATTTTGCGTGGCTGTTTTTAGTCTCGCCAACTTTATCAAAAATGAATAAAGGGAGGGTTGTTGTATCAGCCAGCTGACTGCCAGCTTTGCTTGTGAGATACCCTTTGGAATAATTATTGTAGGTATGAAAGTGTGAAGATGCTCAAAGCAACGGCCATCTAGGCTAATTTAAGGCTCTTACTTCTTTAGGTAGGGTTTCCATATATCCTAATTATGCGCCTGTTCGAGTAATTATCAAGATACCGTAAGCATCAATGAAAATGAAAGAATATATTCACATAATTTGAGGAAAATCCAAATACTACTTGACAGATTAGTGGTCACATACCGTAGTTCATTACCATGGCCCCAAAATGCTCTCTCTCTCTCTCTCTCTCTCTGTGGGTTGTCCAACGCTTATTGAGTCATGTAAAAGTGGCATGGCTTTAGATGGCCAACTCCCTTACAAAACTGATCGCATGGCAAGATTTGCATGAAAGATTTTTACGTTAAAGGCATTTCTTGTGCCTAAAGTAAATGCAACATGAAGTATCTATCTACTACTTGTCGACACCTGCATTTCTTTCTCAAGTAGTCAAAAATGTGGTGGGAAAAACTCTATATATATAGCGTGATGCAACTGTTTGACGCTCCAATTCATAGACGGGTGAGGAGAGGAAGCTCAAGGCTTCTGGTGGCAATTCAGCCCTCAAACCCACATATATTTTTATGGCTTCTCTACTCTTGTTACTAGGAGCGATAATGCAACCCCACCATAATGATCATCTTGTGCTGAATGAGGGAACGGAGGAGTCCAAGCACAGCAATTATCATGATGGGTGGAGTGAGTGCGCCTCTGACTACCACCACCCATGGAGTTTTCTGAGCCACAAAGAGTTTGAAATCAGCTCATGGAGGTTAGCTGAGTATGGTATTTGGACTTGAGTACGAAACCATATTCACTACTTTGTTCCTCATAACTCATATCTCCATCGATTTAAATTTTACCTCTTTATAGGTAGCAAGCTATTATACAGCTGATACATGCTTGATTCAGAGTATAAGACTCTTGGTTAATGTTATTATATCCTTGATGTAACTTGTGTACAATACTCTTCATTATATATATATATATATAGAAATTCTCCTATGCAGACATTCGGACGTTATTAATTATCGTGTGAACGTCATGTATTTTCTATTACCCCTCCCTACTTTCCTCCCTATTTACAAATTACAATGGTATATTATGCTATTATTTCAGAGAAATTTAGTGCTAAAAGCCATAATGTTTATGATATTGGAGATAGCTAGCAACTTATTCATCTTGAAACCCAATTGATGTTACTAAAAATTAACATGACCAAATCTAGTAGGTGATTTGGAAAGGTATTAGGAAATCATGCCCTTGATCTCATCTTATACAAAAAAACATATGTGAAACAATATAAACACGATCAAGAATACACAAAAACAAACAAATTATTACAACAACACAAGAATTTATTAACGAGATTCACTCCATCTGTGCTATGTATCCGGGTTGCTATGAGATTTTCACTATTAAAGAAGGAAAGACAATTACAAGCGCTAAAGTGTTTCGTCATACTCCCTTGTAATTAGGGTTAGCTCTCTTAACATAATACAACTCCCTAAAAGTCATATTTATAGTTTATAAGACTTACGGTTACATGGGTAGGAATTGAAGTCCGAATATGAAGCAAATTTTGAGTAGGAAATAAAACACGAAAGACGCTCGTATGGCTTCAAATGGTCCGCTGTCCTGTGATGGGCAATTAGCCGCTCTAACACAGCCTTGCAAACATCTCTCTCTTTTCTAGTAGTGTGACCAATCGGTTTTTGGACATGGGCTCCTCTAACTTGATACCTCCCAAGAAACTCAGCCAAAGCTTCAAGCACTTCACACATAACAAGGCCACATCTCAAGCAACCAACATCTCCATCATCATATGCTAAGAGACCAACTGAAATCGATCACAACTTCAGTTTGTTAATCGCCAACTTAGTCAAAATATCAACATAAATCAGCGTATGTAATTTTAGTTTGGTTCAATATTCTTGGTCCTTGAATGAAACACATGATTTTATCCGAGTGAATTGCACTCTAACTATATCACTATACAAAACACAACCCTCCTTAATTCCTCCAAGAAGCCTTTCAACCAAACCATATCTCTTTTTGCAGCCTCACTGGTCACCATGCTCGGACAAAGCTATACACCTTGTAATCTTGAGACCAACTCACAACAATACTACCCACATTACAAACATAACAAAATAATACTCCTCGTATTATCAATGTCTCTTGCCAAGTCTACATCGACAAAACCTTTGAACTCAGACACAATCACCTATAAAACAGAGACATAGTACCTCGAAGATACATGAAAATCCCCTTTACCACCTCCCAATGTTGCTTTCCAGGACTACTATGTATCGACTAACAACCCCGACTGCATGAGCAATGTCTAGTCCAGTACACACACATGAAACATCCAACCACTGAAGCATAAAGCACACTTACTATATAACCTTTCTTGATCCATGTTAGGAAGATTACATCTCCTAGTTTCAGGCTACTAATTGTGTCAAAGCTATGCTTGATATGTGTACCTCACCTTCCCCCTTTAGCAAATCCCAACAATTAAGGGATAACCCCTTTTGTCATAGGTCACATCCCACCAAACAAGGAGTAGCTAGCCATGCCCCCTCCTATGTCTTCTCAAGGCCCAAGACCCTAAATTAAGGGGAGCCATGCAAATGACAAAGCCATCAATCAACCTTGTCTACTCCAACTTGACTATAAAAGGGAGCTCACCACCTCCAAGCAAAAAGAGGATTGGCTGCTATTTCTTCATTTCTCCAAGAGCTGTCCAAAGTTCTCCCAAGCTTTCTATTACTCTTCTACTAGAGCTCTCAAGCCTCTCTCCCTATTTCTCTCATGTACAATGTAACCTTTTCAAATACAAATAATACAAAGCTATAAACTATAGTGGATGTAGCCCCATTATGGGTGAACCACTCAAACACTTGTGTTATGTGTGATTATGTCTTAATCCGTTAGATACAAATTCACCCGTTATTACGCGGACTTGTTGGTTGGGACAAACTACATACTTGATTTTCATTGCGTTGATTTTTGCTGCATTTTGCAGAAGTGGACTTCTTGAAGAAAGCTAACATTTTCAGAGAGGAAGAGAAGGGAATGCTACAGAGACGAGACGAAGAAGATGGGTGAATGCTACAGAAGAAGATGGTGTATTTATTGACAGCAATATCTCGCGTCCAGCTGTCCTGGTAGCACACAAAATGCCACCTCCATTAAGGACAGATACATTTTTATCTCGGTGACGGTTTTGTGCCTATAGCTTGGATTTGGCATTGAGCCAATAGAAACTTTTGGTGATGGTGCAGTAATTTTTTATTCTTTTATGTGCGTGTTGGGTTGGTTTGTGCAATTACGAATTTACGGGTTGGTTTGTGCAATTACCAATTTACGCCTGCAACTCCCTCTATCTATCTAGCTGCTTAAATAAAAGGGCTATTTGGACCTTTGGTTGCCCATTTTTCTCCTCCATGTGCGTCATAAACATTTGTGCAGATTTTCATCATTTACAGTGATTTATTATAACAAATACACAACTGAAAGTGGGACGCGATTTCACCAAAAAGAAGGTGGGACGCGACGGGGGCAAGATGAAACTACTCTATGGCTAGGGCTCTAGGCTCTAGCTAAGTGCAAAGTTTGGGAAAAAAAGAAATTTAATACTAATTTTTAAACACTACACTTCATTTTATAAAAATTAGTCCAATTCATCCAAGCAAAAATTAGTATGTCCTATCCAAACAGTTAGCTTCAAGTTTTCTTGTATGAGAAAATTAATTATTCATATAAGAAATAATAGCCCACCTCTATAAAAATTTCTGATTTCGTCCTTGAACGCGAGGAATGTCAACAAAAAATTGGTAGTTTTGACATGAACAAAATTGAAAGGAGGAGAGATATAGGTATAGACCTGGCACATACAATATGAGTAATGCTACTCTTATTCGGAATAATCATTTTCTCAAGCAAAAACATCAATTACTCCTCCATGTGCGTCATAAACATTTGTGCAGAAAAAGTGAGTGAGCCGCTCTCTCTCTAACCCTAGCAAAAACAAAAACCACCCAGTGCCACATCCAGGGGGGAAGGTGGTCTCCCCCTCCTCCCCTCCCCTCCTCTTCCTCCTTGAATCTCACTTCTCTCCTTCTCCTCCTTTTTCCAATTAGGTGGGATGAATTCCTTGGGCATGATTTCCCCTTTCACCACCATATCTACCTTGCAAGTCCTGCTCCATACTAATCCAAAATCCATGGCTCACCTGGATTCCTTCGCCTCCCTTTTGATATGGCCTTATCCTTGGGTTCTAACTGCAAATTTCAAATGCGTTTTGACGCGTATTTATTGGAAGGTGTGTAGAGCTCTAGCTCGGGTGCTTGCACCACCTCCTTCCAGGCTATTGGTTCGTTTCCTCCTAGCTATGGAATGGGTTTTCTCATTCTTTTTTTGTTGGCTGCTGTCTTTTGGATGTATTGGTTGGGTTGATTCTGGATCTGTTTGTGAATCTCGGGTGGCCTATGTTCTGGGTGATTTTTGGCTTGATTTGCTGACCTACGGGTGTTTGGGTCTTCATGGTGGTGACTAGCGGTGTGTCCATCTACAATCAGGGAGCTTCTCTTTGTTGGTGGTGGCGGCTTGGAGTTTCTCTTTGGTTGTGGCGGCTAGGTTTTATGTGTTTTATTTTATGTATTCTATGTTTTATGTGGGCTTTTGGCTAAATGTGGGTGTAATACCTCTTTTTGGGCTATATGCCTTTATGTGGGCTAAATGCCTTGTTGTTGGCTTTTGACATTTTAGGTTCAGCTCAGGAACATGATCTTTATGCTATGCTGTATTGGTTTTAGTTAGGTTTGTTCATGTTTGTTTTCTAGTTTTCTGGCCAGTGCTTTTGCTTGGCTTTGATTGTACTGTTCTCTACCCCTTTGAGGGTTTGCAATGAATTGCAATTTCGACCAAAATTTTTTTTATTTATGCAGACTTTCATCATTGACAGTGATTTATTATAACAAACACACAACTGAAAGTGGGACGCAATTTCACCAAAAAGAAGGTGGGACGCGACGCGGGCAAGATGGAACTACACTATGGCTAGGGCTCTAGGCTCTAGCTAAGTGCAAATTTTGGGAAAAAAGAAATTTAATACTAATTTTTAAACACTACACTTCATTTTCATTTTATAAAAATTAGTCCAATTCATCCAAGCAAAAATTAGTATGTCCTATCCAAACAATTAGCTTCAAGTTTTCTTGTATGAGAAAATTAATGGAATTTTATTTAGATCTTTATCCATATAAGAAATAATAGCTCACATCTATAAAAATTTCTAATTTCATCCTTGAACACGGGGAATATCAACAAAAAATTGGTAGTTTTGACATTAACAAACTTGAAAGGAGGAGAGATATAGGTATAGACATGGCACATACAATATGAGTAATGCTACTCTTACCATATTTATACCACATGATATTGTATATCTATATCATGTCACATCAATAAAATCAATAAAATATATTTTAATTAAGAAAATTAGAAAAACAAATAATAGAATATAGTATACGGTATATAAATGTAGGAATATGGTTAATGTGGTTGTCCACATATAGGAATATGGTATATAAATGTAGCAGTAAGAGTAGCATTATTCATATAATATACATATGAGAATTTATTGATAAGTGCGATTGCATTTCATGCTTACATAAATATGTTTTTTTGTTTTATTCGACACATGTTTGTTATGGTTTGTTTTGGACAAATATCCAAGGAAAATGGGATGCATGCACGTTGCAATACACTTGTACGGAAATATCCTCTCTCTCTAGGTCACCATTGACCAATTAGAATTTTTATATTGTATTTAATGTTTATCTTAATTTTAATTAATAATATCAGCTTTTTATATTTGTATTAATCAAAGATATTTTTAGTATTTTAAATATTTCATCGTTCTCATTTTTCTTTTTTTCTTTTTTTTAATGAATATCATTCTCTTCCTTTTGCCCCCTACATCCTTCTGTCAGTGATAATTGATTTTTTTTATTTATTGGTACTTTTTACATTTGGCCCTTGGGTTACTTTTTCAATAAATAAAAAAAATTTGTAGTCCCCCACATGGCAATGAAGGCATAACCATGGATAAAAATGCTTTTATCAGGTAACCTAAACCCTAAAAGAAGAGAGATTGATTCAGTGATAGAGAGCGAGAGAGGAGAGCAGAAGTATGGTGAAAACTTAAATATCCATGTACCAATGAATTTTACTACCAAATCCATATCCAATATTTAATTATTCATACATAGTATAATAATTACGCAAAACCCAAGAAGAAACAAAAATCATAACTAGAAATGAAAATATATTTATACCAGAGAATCCTAATTAAAATTAACATCCATGTTATGATAATATCCACAAAGTGGTTAAAAGATTTGTCCAAACCCAAAGGAGAGCTACGTGGTCTTTCGACCAATAGCTTTACAAAACGGTTAAAAGATTTGCCTAAACCCAAAGAGGTTAAAAGTAAGCCTATAGGCTACAGATTTTCTACCTCCACACAAAGAATAATAAAAGACTTCATATGCAACCCATATATCAGCTAGTACATTAGAACGCTTTAGTATCATCTGGAGACTGAAACCGCTACACAAAAACAATTCCTATCAAGTCTTTTTTCCTCTTACACTGTTCACAAGTCTCAGGGAATATATTTTAACAACCTTTGCTAAACGGAAAAAATATATATATTATCCTTCTACTCTTCTATTCAGTTTGAAACTAGAAGCCGGTCAAGAATGGAATATAAAGAAAAGCCTCTCTTCGTTTGAAACTTTCTGTAAGATGAAGCGTCATTTGAAACCTTCTGTAAGATGAAGCTGGTTGGGGTGCGGGACTTGGCCTCTCACATCACCATCCCTCCATCAATGGTCAATACCTACAATTGATCGGTGCAAAACTTGACATCTCACATGGTGCCATTTCCCATTTGTCCAAGGGAAAATTATCAGATTTCTAATAAAAATTTACCTGTCCAGTAATGTAACTGGCAGCAGGATTGAGCGCTAAGAATTCCACCAGTCCTGCGACTTCTTCAGGTTGACCATATCGTCCTGAAAGAATTATAAAACAGATTTATTTTCTCTAATTTATATGTGAGTCTACAAAGATCAGGCTTTAAGTTTAGGCAAACTAGGGAAGAAGAATTAGAGAATCAATCAAATTTCAATCATCCCAATCCAATGATTCAATAACATTTATATCTCTTAGATAAGTTATATAACCAACACGAGCAGTTTCTCAATAATTCACATTAACTACAATAGATTTTGATAATAATGTTTAAATAACTAGTAGCGAATTCTCACCTAGGGGGATGGTTCCCAAGATCTTCTTTTCTATGTCTTCTCCAAGCTTGGCAGTCATATCAGATGCAATAAAACCAGGTGCTACAGCATTGACCTAAGGAAAAAAAGAAAGCTTTAGATGGATAATTACTTTAGGCCCACCACGTAAGACTGGAAATATGCAAGAAATTTAGAAATATATCTGCTTGAATGTTTAATGTCATGAAACAAACCACATAGCCATTGCTAAGTGTGGAGTGGGGTTAAACGTATTAGCAGGCAAGCCCCCCACACACTGAAAACAGATAATAAAATTAATTAATTAAAAACCTTGAATCACATGCACATACATTAATGCTCCTGCTTGAATACTCCTTTGCGACACTCTTTGTAAAGCCAATTACTCCGGCCTTTGCAGCACTGTAGTTGGCTTGTCCAACATTGCCAACAAGACCAACAACAGATGCTATATTGATTATTCTTCCCTGAAATATGATGAACATACTAAGGATCTAGAAGCAAAATAGGATTTACACATTGACATAATACAAGAAAGGAAGACAGAATTTGATCACCTTTCTCTGTTTCATCATAATTTTCGCTGCAGCCTGCAAAAAGCATGAACCATGCTAAAAAGATCAGACAATTCTAAGTTTGAACAACTATAATTACTACATCAACATATGCCCTACACTACATACCTGTGTGCACAGAAACACGCCAGTAAGATTCAAATCAATAACCTCCTGCCATTGGGATGTTTTCATTCTCATCAACAAGCCATCCCGTGTTATTCCTGAAAAACACTGTGTTAGTTGAAATAGAAAGGAAAGTCAAGATAAGAAGCTTAAATACAAGAAGTAATATGATGCTGACCAGCATTATTAACCAACACATCAATTGTTCCCCATGCATCAACCACCTATATTCATTTGATTGAAAAGATGTCACGTTGCAAGCAATAATTGCAACCACACTAAAAAAACCATGTAGTTAGCATAAAAAAGCGCATTCGCGTACAGTTTTAATCATTGCCGCTACATCTTCTTCCTTCGAAACATCACCTCTGAATGTCAGAGCTTGACCACCAGATGCCTCAATCTACAGCATTTAAACCGCAATAAAACATGTTTAAAATGCGGCATATAATTAAAACCAAATATTTCTACTATGAACTAATTTCAATATATGAATTGCATGAAGGCCATTATTTTAACAAAAAAAGGTACCTCCTTGGAAACTAATTCAGCTTCCTTAGATGACCTTGCGTAGTTTACCAGTACCTGTAACAGTGAAATGAAGCCTATGGTCATGACTTATCGAAGAAAGCAATTGAATGATGAATGATGATGATGACCTTACAACCAGACTTGCCGAGAGCAAGCGCAACAGCTTTGCCAATTCCTCTAGAAGCTCCAGTGACGATAACCACAGGAGCCTCCACGTTCTGAGATACAGCAGCGCTCGATTGCTCAACGGCCGCTACCTGCGCCCTAATTCCTGCTATTTGATTATATTTCCATTAAAACATCACCAAATTGTTTTGATGTAAACTTCAATTTACCATAACAAGAAAATGCGATTCATTTACCAGAGCTAGAGGAGGATGAGGAGCTCGAAAATCGGGTCAGGGCAACGCGATGCAGTCGAACCCCGCCGAGAAGTGGATAGGAGCTTCGTGGGTGAGATAATTGGCGGAAGAGTCGTACCGGAGCTCCAACGGTGTTGAAGCCGATCATGGCCGCCATTGAGAGTCTGAGAATGGCGGGTGCCGCAGACGAAGAAAAGGAGGAAGAGAGAGGGGCAAGGAAGGTCGCCAGAAGATCAATCTATCGGACTGAGAACTGAGGAAAAATGTGAAGAAGACGGGTGTGTAATCTCTCTGAGCAGGGATTTTAGCATATCGGTGGAAATGCGTACTGTGTACAAGGAATTTTCATCAAATTTAGTAAAAACTTGCAATGGTGCCCGCGCGATGCTGCGGGTTCTAATACCATGTAAAATGTGTACAAAGTTGTGAAAATATGTAGGAAAAATGGTACCATTTATATAGACATGGAGATCTAAATAGTGGCATCATGCTTTGTTTAGCAAGTCTAAGTTACAAAAAAATAGAATAATAACACGTTTTTTATGCAGTTTGTCATGTTAAAATAATGATCATATTTTAATAAATCAAGTAGCAGTAAAAACATCAAAATATCGGCAACATTGAGATGCTCATAATTCAAATGAGTTCGGATAGGTCTTTATATATATATGCTATAGGGTGGTGGAATAGGATTTTTCTATCTTGATGTCTGTTAGAAAGGGGTCTTTCTCTTGTTAGCTCTGCTGTAGATGTGGCTTATGTTCTTTCTTGACTTTTGTGGAGGTTTTAAATCTGTCGGTACAAATTTGGAAAATGATAGGTGTTAGTGTAGATGAATGGAAAATTTTGAGCGAAGACAAAAACTATTATCACATAATTAAGTTCAAAAATACAACATGACAACACAACAATTTAGGTACATCAAGCATTCTATTAATCTAATGGACAAAAGTATAACCTCAGTCTATTTAATCAATTGACAATAAACATACAACAATTGTGACAATTTATTAAATAGGTATAAGAGAATTAAATACAAACACCCGAGCTTTTATAGAATCAAATCAAGACGGGTTTTGATTATGTTGCTACAAATTTGGAAAATGGTATAATAGAATTAAGCCAAAACACCCGAGCTTTAATAAAATCAAATCAAGAAGGGGGTGTTGATTCTGTTGCTACAAATTTGGAAAATGGTAGAAGAGAATTAAGCCAAAACACCTGAGCTTTGATCTATAGACACCTATGGTCAAAACTGATACATGCATTGCCATTTATAGGCTCAGTTAATCTAATGGAGAAGTAAGCCATAAACGCAGAAATAACCTATAAACACCTATAGGTTATATAAGCAGAATAAAGTCAAAAATAACAGGATATAGGTTAAACTTTTGTTCATAACATATAAAACATCTAGATACATATGTTATAGTTTTGTTCATTGCATCGAAAACATGATACATGTGGATATGTATCAACAACACAAACTGCAATTTGAATACACAAATTATTCTATTAATCTAATATACAAAACTATAACCTCAGGGAAAGCAATCAATTAACAAACTCAGAAGAAGCTTGACAAATTACTAAATATTATTTATTGCAGAATCAAACCAAAAGACTCAAACTTTAATAAGCAACAGAACAAAAAAGTTGGATATAGATATTCATGTTTGTGATGAGGAATTTTGTTGCGTGTGTATTAAGTGTTTATGATTGAATTCAAAAAATTTAGAAGGGAAAAGTATGGATATGATGTGAATCTTAGTTAAATAAATGAAATTAGATGAAAGAATGCATGCTCTATTTTGGGGCAGAAAGGGTGATTCCAATATTGCTTGGGGTTGTCTTGCTTTTCAAAGAGATGAGTGGGATACCATCAGAATCTGATACATTCTCCTCTGGAGCTTTTGCAGTGAGCATTGTGTCAATTCTCTTCTTAGTTGTAATATTACTGAGATACATGCAAAATAAAGGAAAAAGAAGTGAATCGTGATATAAATTCTAACATTTTGAATTTTTTTTTTTGTTCACATCAGAGAAGTGAAAAAAGCCTTTTTTAACAGGCCGTTCTCTAATTTGGCTGATTTGATGATTGAATTGGCGGACACCTACAAAATTCGTTTACCAAAGTTCATTGTAAGTAGAGCCTTTATTGTTTTTGGTCCTTACTGGTGAATAAATTGTTATAAATTAGAGCCTTTCTGATTTATAGTTATTTTTGTTTTTTTTCCGACAATTAATAATCCATTAACAAACAAAATATAATAAAACAAACAAAACATAATGCATTCAGAATATCAAAACACATAAACGAAGTACTTATTCCACTCAGGATATCAAAACCAAGAAATATTTCTCTTATTTTAGTAATTGTAGTTTTCTAGTATCTCAGGATTGTCTCCTTGAAATCATTTGTCTCAACAAAAGAAAAGGAAAGAGGAAGAAGATAAACTCAGTTTCTGTAGTTTAACTTTAAAGTTCAAAGACCAAAAAAGCAACAAAACAAAAACAAAACAAAACTATAGAACTATAAAGTATAGGCCCTTTTAATGTATAGGCAATCGCAAACAGTGTTTATGAGTTTAGGCGGCTTTTATACATTGTTCTCAACATTGCCTCTATTATTTTTATAATCACTTCAATGAAGTATAGTATTTGCTATTGAGTTATGCACCAATTTAATCAGTGGGAATGAAACTGAAACATTTTATAAATAAAAAAACAGCAAAAAGAATACATGGCGTCTTAATGCAGAAAAGCAATACCAATGTTTTTCCAGACCAACCATGATAGAAAAGGAGGGAAGCAATAAAACAAAGAAACAAGGTAGATGAAAGAAAAAAGAAAATTAAACAAATATCATAGTATCCACAGATCCTGGGTAAAGAAAGAGCATCATGGCAATGTGTAAACACATGTATTCACTAATAATGAAGGAGAAGAAACTTACAAAAAGTTAGGATTCCATATATAACAGAAGTTGTTTAATGCAAGGAGGCCTCCATCTATCTTTGTTTGTTTCTTTGTTTCTGACAATCAATCAATCTACATCAGATAACAATTCATAAGATTTTTATGTTTTTTTTTTCTTTAAACCAATTGTATGAATTTACATTCCAAGAAGACATGGCAGAAAAGTTAGGGAAAAAAAACAGTGACCTAAACTGAGAATCTGCAAATTTTAGTGGGAGTTTCAGTGATCCAGTTGAGAATTTTAAAACGATACAAACCCATCATCCCATCTAATAAACATAAATTGAAATACAATAATGTGAAACTAACACAAAGCTAAAACAAAGATAAATTCTGGATTGTCAAAATACCTAGTCATGTTCTGCTAAAACCAACTTCATCTACAAAACAAAAGACACCAAAATAAAGTTAGCATCATGGAGTGGAAGCAATAAAGAGGTTTTGAAAAGCAAAAAAAAAAAAAAACACGGTTTGTAGAGTTCATTACCTGAGATTTGAGTTGAGAGATCTAGTAAGAAACTACTATGATTACTGCAAAAAGTTACACCTCAAATCACGGCATCCTAGATCAAAATTTTCATGGAAACCTGAAATTAAATCAGAAGAAAAACATACAGAATTTTATGAAAAGGGCATAATGCGTAACCGCTATTTCTTAATCTGGGCTCCCCTATATACATATATTTCACAAAATTTCAGCAAGAGAAAAGTACTGTAAATCTGTTTCAAGCTGAAAAAAAAAAAAAAAAAAAAAATCATCCCTGCATATAAGAATAAGAAAAGAAACAGTGCAACAAAAATATGGCAAAAAGTTTAACTCCATAAGCTCAAACTCAATTTAGTTTACCAAAATAGACGTCTTCTTGAAGAATAGAAGGAAGCACTTGATTCAAAACACCCCTTAAAAAAATTAAATATGCTACTACGTTATTTAAACGTCATGGATAAACAGACTATTAAGTTATAAAAAAAGGTCTATCACTAAATTTAATCAACAAATCAAATAATCATATATACTCATCTATAATCCAACAAATCATTATCCACGCACAAAATCATCAATATTCATCCAATCCAATAAATCATTATCCACAAACAAAATCATCAACATTCACTAATAACTCATTATAAAAATTTCAACTAACTAAAAATATTATGCATTATCATCAATTAGGGATTTAAAGTTTAAAAAAAACTTGAATATGAGCTTTTCCAAACCAATAGATTAAAATCAGAGATGGAGAGGGAAGAGAATGAAAACCTAGGGAAGTAAATCAATCAAGCAAGCAAAATAAATGAGACTCCAAATGCAGCTCCGAACCTTTTTTGCCATACAAATGAATTAATCAAACCAAACAGTCATATCAATTAATCAACAAATCATTTCTTTTTTAAAACAAATTTAATTAAGACAAATGAACAAAGAGAGAGAGGAAAAGAAGTCCATCACAAAATTTAATCAACAAATCATAAACCCTAAATTCCAACAAATCAAATAATCATATATAGTCACCTAATCCAACAAATCATTATCCGCACACAAAATCATCAATATTAATCCAATCCAATAAATCATTATCCACAAACAAAATCATCATCCAATAACTCATTATAAAAATTTCAACTAATTAAAAATATTATCAATTATTATCAATTAGGGATTTATAGTTTAAAAATAACTTGAAAATGAGCACTAAAACACTCAATCAAAACAATAGACATGTTTTGGAATAAGTCTATTGCATTATGACGTGGAATTGATGGTTTACTGGCAGCTTTACCATTTGACACGCCCTAAGAGAAATATATCACACAAAAACAAATACCAAAATGGAACCTAAGAAACTATGAAGCTAATTTCTAGATATTTGTTTACCAAATTTCATACAACAATCCTCCATTTAAACTGATTGTTTACAACAATGCTAGGAATTTGTATGCAGATCATATATGCAATATTTGGCTAATCCATTCCACCAGTAGCCATATATTTAACTAAATAAGCTACATCTAAAACCAAATGGGTATTCTTCAAGAATAAAACCAACCTTAAAGCAGACCCTAAACCCTAAACAACAGTAAAATGTTTTAAAAAATCAATTTTTCTTTTTTTTTTTTTCTAGCAAACAAACAGGGTAAGTAGGTTTTACAGTGTTAAATCAGATTTTTTGTTTGAATGATCCTATATTGAAGCAGCCATCTTTACCTTCCAGCTGAGAGACTGGTCGATTAGTTCAAAATATCAGCTCCAAATCATATTTCCTTCTAGATGCAAATATATATTAAGCTCCTAGAAATCATTATCCACACGCTCAAATAGAGAGACAGAGAGATCTTGCCTGCTTAATAGTTTTTGTTTGAGATCCTTGGAGAGATCGCCGGTCCCAGGCGATTGCTCATGACATCGTCGGACGGCTGTCGTTGAATCTCAAAGGAGGCGCGATCGGGAGATCGAATGGGTGAGGCATCAGAACCGTCCGCAGTAGACGGAGAGGGAGAGTCGGTGCTTGTGATGATGACGGTGGCGGCAGCAGAGAGGAGGGGGGAGAGGGGAGAGAGAGAGAGGGCTGGGAGGGATGAGGGGGAAGGGTGTGGGGCTGATAAGGTTTTCCTTCTCTCAGCGACGTCCTGAAGAGAAGAGAACAGAGCTCACGGGTAAAAGGGTCAATCCACTTTTCATAATCCTACAGAAGGAAGAGATCAACCATTTAAGCGGGGACAAAAATGTCATTTCACTATTCCTAAGCTACAGTTAGGAACAGTGAATCTGTGGATTCAATTTTAATATATATATAATATAATATAGTCCCCAAATTCATAAAAGTCAATTTTTTAAAAAACTTTCAAATATAATGAAAAACTCACTTAAATTACCTCAAATGCCCGCTAAATTTAAACTTAACAAAAAGAGCTAATTGTCATGCTCTTCAAGCCGTCGGCAGAGTACTGAGCACAAGGGCACTGGCAGCCGCACTGCCCTTAAGTGGGCTAAGCCTCACTCTCCCTCACCCTACCCTCAAACAAAAGGACACTGCCCCTTGTCAATTGCCCTTAATGGATTTTCTTTGCAGCAGTTTTTAAGGGTTTGGATACATACATTTCATGGAAAACAACTATTGACAACATCATGTTTTGCATGCACCCACACTAGATTTTTTTTTTTTTTTACTCTTTTTTTTTTAAATTTCATTTTATTATTATTTTTGTTTGATAAAGGTATAAGAGAAACAAAGTTAATATAGGCAAATTTGTGTTGTGGGAAGACAGTTTGCCTTCCAATTTCTTTGGTGTTCTTGTTCTGAGGGAGTTTTTGGGCATTTGGGTCAATTTTAAGGAGTTTTTGGCTATTTTTGAAAGTTTTTAAAAAAATTGACATTTATGAATTTTGGGGCTAAATTTTGGCTAAATTTGATAAAAACTAGTGTACAAGACGCTAAACACGACGTGTCGTTTGAGCCAAGAACCAAACAACAGTTGGTTTGCACATTCATTTGTAAAAGAACCAAAAAAAGTTCCTTTTCGATAATCAATATTTTCTAGACCATCCTTTGCCTTTTTCTTGTTTTTATTTATTTATAAAACAACGATAATGTCAACGGAGTCTAAGCTAGTGAAAAACGACTTTGACTCGCAGACCAGAAATCTCATATTCGAACCCGAATGACATCATAATTGTGTGTATGTCAGAAATCCCCTCCTTTGTAGTTTAAACTATGGCTTGTAATTATCCATTTGCAAAACATCTGTTACAGCATTGCAGGTCTAGTCCTTTCCAACAAGTTTTAGTCACTAAATTACTAAGTCAACATTATAATGGTTAATCTAAGTCAGCACGTTCTTTCGATTTTTTTCTTTAAAAACACAACAGCCTAATTACTACTCTCACATCAAAATGACAAAAGAGCCTCTTGAAGTGCCATTGAAATTACATGCATATCAGAAATACCAGTTTCAGAATGATTAAGACGCCACCTCTTACTCATAAAAAGACATACACATTCAATGATATCAACTCAGTGTAGAACTAATGGATTCACATAAAAAAGTGTCTCAAACTGAAACACACACAACAACGAGGTGCTGCTGCAACCAAGGCAAAGGTTCTAAAGCATTAATTACTACTCCGTACAATTGAATTTCACATATTTTCTTTAATTGTTGAGGAGACATGTTCCAGTTTACACTATGGCAATGCAAAACATAACCTATCAAGCAAGCAACATACACAACAAAGAGGTGTAGCCACCAAGGCAAGGGCGATAGAATTTCAAACATTTTCTTTAACTGCTGAGAAGACCATGTTCCAATTTAACACTACGGTAATGCAAAACATAGCCTTTGAAGGAAGCAGAACAGGTAGACAATAACAGAAGACAGTGGACGCTAAAATGAATGGCTTAGGGAGACAGGGATAACAATCATGGACTGTAATATTACTCTCATACTGCACCCCAGACTTCATGTGTATCTATGTGTGTGTGTGAGACAGAGACAGACACAGGGCATATAGTAAAATAATAATTTGCATAGGAGGAAATATGTACTTTTCTCAACAGCATATCCTCTGTCTAACAAGCTCCAAAATTAGAACATTGAAAACAATTTATAAACCTACATATATGAAAAGTAGGTAGAAACACAAACCACTGGATGAAGAGCCTGATTCACTACTGGAGCTACTTGAGCTACTGCATTTACTGTTTCTGTGAGCTGGATCTTTCTCTATCTCCACTGGAGGAAAGCTTGAAATAGGAGCATCGTTCCCACCAACAATATCCACTTCCTCATCGCCTGGGTCATGGCCTGGGTACATGCAAGTCATAACAAACCGTGCTGTTAGAAATAAGTTCCTTGCAGAAGACATTTTTTAGAAATAAGTTCCTTGCAGAAGACATTTTGTAGAAATAAATTCCTTGCAGAAAGACATTTTTTAAACAGTTCAGTAAATGAATATTCATAGAGCTGTTATTGAAAATGAACCTTTACATGGTTGCATTGATGAGTTGCTAAATCCTGACTCATTAAGAATCTGCAGTAAAAAAAGGAGATACACCAATAAGAAATCCATGCAAATATTCAGTTGGAAAACTAATTTAAACAGATAAGACATGCAAACATTATAAGAAAAAACTACGAACATACCTCCATTTCACAAGGTTCAGCTTTCGCCTGCCTTTTCTGTTTCTCCAGCAGATGTTCATCCAAAAGCTTCCGTAGAGCAAACAAGGTATCATCACTAAAAGCTTCAAGGTCATCCTCGATCTCATTATCATTGGTTTGCCCTTCACTATGACTATGCTCTTGTAGGTGTTGACGTGAGTCTCCTAATTAATCAAGAAGATTTATTTCCTTGATTAATTAAGGGATTTACTTTCCTATTCTTTATAGTTGACAAATCATTGTATAATTAGGAGATACTATCCTAATTGATTACTGTATCTATTTCCTTGTAAAGCACTCATGTAAACTCCTATATATACCTCCTTATGGAGAAGAATAAAACCTAACCTAAAGTATTCAAACCATATTCATATTTTAGCATGGTATCAGAGCAATCAATCCTAGGTTGCCTCTAAACCCTTATCTCAAATTTCTCATATTCAAATCGACAACCCTAAATCAAATTCCTCATATTTTTCCCCAAATCCAAATCCCTCAAATCTAAAGTCCTCCAATCCTCTTATCAAAATCCCTAAACACATACCCTCAAATCTTATACACATACCTCTCAAATCCAATTCCTACATCAAATTCCTCAAATAAAATTCCTCCAAACACAATTCCTCACATTCTCATATCACATCTTACTTCCGCTGCAATGTCAGGAACCCCTACGATTCTCCCCTTTATTGCAGACTCATAGAAGCATACGGTCAATCCTGCTGACCCGACTACCCGAACTCATACTTTTATCGCCACCACAAAGGTTCTACTTTTCATACGTCCTCTCAAAAATCCGCATGGATTATTGATTCAAGTGCTACAGATCATATGACATTTGATCCTGGCTAACTTATTAGTCAAAAATCATCCACTTCGGCAGTGGTGTCTAATGCTAATGGTACCACCTCCCCTGTGGTTGGGGAGGGCTTTCTATCTCTCTCTACTTCCCTACATCTAGATTCTGTATTACTTGTTCCATCTTTGAACCATAACTTGTTATATGTTGCATAACTTACTACTACTTTAGGGTGTACTATAACATTTTGGCCAAATCATTGTATTTTTCAGGACATCCTCACAGGAAAGACGATTGGTTGTGGTACTCAGCGGGGCAAACTCCACTACTTGGATTGGGCACCGGATAGTGAGGTCAAGGTTGATAAAGCTTTCACAACCAGTGGAACTCGTTCTGAGGGGGAGAGAGACAAAATTTGGTTATGGCATAAATGTCTTGGGCATACCTCGTTCGGTTATCTTAAGAAGTTGTTTCCATCATTATTTTCCAGTCTTGATGTTTCCAGCTTCCAGTGTGATACGTGTGAATTGGCAAAGAGTCATTGTGTCCCGTTCCCATTAAGTTCAAATAAGAGTTTGGTTATGTTTTCTCTTGTTCATTCTGATGTTTGGGGACCTGCTAAAATTGCCACTCCATCAAGGGCGCGATGGTTTGTCATGTTTATAGATGATGCACAGGCATGACTTGGGTTTCCCTTCTCAAAACTAAAGGGGAAGTCAGTTCCAGGTTTCAACAGTGTTATCAAATGGTGGAGACTTAGTTTCATGCCAGAATTCAGGTTCTTCGTTCTGACAATGGAGGAGAATTTCTCAACCATGATCTTAACCAATTCTTACAAGATCATGGCATCATACATCAACGCTCATGCCCTTACACTCCCCAACAGAATGGGGTGGCTGAAAGAAAGAATAAACACTTATTGGAAGTCATTCGTGCCTCTCTCTTTGGTGCTAATATGCCACGATCTTTTTGGGGCGAAGCCGTCGTCTCTGCAACATACCTTATCAATCGGATTCCCTCTAGTATCCTAAATTTCCAAACACCACTTCAAACACTTCACCACCATATCCAAACACCTACCACCCCAAACCCCAAACCTGGAACCCCGAATTTTTGGTTGTATTGTATTTGTCCATTTACATTATCACCAACGAAGTAAATTGGATCTCCGAGCCGAAAAGTGTGTTTTCATTGGCTATGCACCTCATTAGAAAGGATACCGGTGTTATCATCCACCTAGTTAGAAGGTCTTTACCTTCATAGATGTTGTGTTTTGGGAACATGACTTATATTTTTCAACAGCCTATGAGGAGAATCGAGAATCCACCACTACTCCAATTCTCGATTTTTTTCCCTAGGACGTCACTCTGCATCAAAGTGACCGGTCGCCAGTGGAAAGCAACCGGTCGCCTCCTCTTAGTTTTTCAACTACAGAGACCCTGCTTCAAAATGACTAATCGCCTGCAGATAGAGACCGGTCCCCAGAAGAAAACGATACGTTGTCTCCACGCTGTCAAAATCAAGAGGAGGAAATTGAACCGTTTCATGAGATTTTGCCCGCTTCAGCTCCAGTACCGCACCAATCATCTGCTGAGGAAGTCATTCAGGTTACATGTTTTTCTAAAACTGATAACATTAATGAAATATCTCATGATGATTTGATTTCAGAAGGCACAGAGCCTACATATCAGCTTCCAGAAAGGAAGAACCGTGGCAAACCTCGAGTACAATATGAAGCAGATCTTAAAGCCAAAGGGAAATACCTCATCAATAATTACATATCTCTCAGCAGATTATCAGAGTCACGTGTGCACTATGTGAAGCAGTTGGCTGACATATCTGTCCCCAACAATGTAACTGAAGCACTAGAAGACCCAAAACGGAAAGAAGCTATGAATGAAGAAATGCAAGCTATCCAAAAGAATGTCACATGGGAACTCGTGCCCTTACCTCATGGAAAGAAGACAGTAGGATGCAGGTAGATTTATACTGTGAAACTCAAAGCAGATAGATCCATTGAAAGATATAAAGCTAGATTGGTGGCGAAGGGGTACACACAGAGATATGGGATAGACTATGAGGAGACCTTTGCCCCAGTAGCCAAGATTAATACTATTAGAATCCTATTGTCTCTAGCAGCAAATCTCGATTGGCCACTACATCAGTTTAATGTCAAAAATGCATTCTTACATGGAGACTTGGAAGAAGAAGTATATATGGACTTACCCCCATTATGTAATTCAGCTCCTAACAAGAAAAATCAAGTTTGCAAACTCAGAAAGTCATTATATGGGTTAAAGAAATCTCTCAGTGCATGGTTTGGCAGATTTACTAAATCTATGAAGAATTTTGGATATACACAGAGTAATTCAGATCACACCATGTTCTTGAAGCGTGATGAAGGAAAACTTACTGCATTGATTGTTTATGTAGATGACATAATCGTAACTGGAAACGACACAGAAGAGCAACTGAAGTTACAAAAGCATTTGTCTCAGGAATTTGAGATGAAGGATTTAGGTGATCTGAAGTACTTTCTTGGAATCGAAGTAGCGAGGTCAAAAATTAGTATATTTCTATCTCAAAGGAAGTATGTAATGTATCTACTCACTGGAACAGGAATGCTTGGATGTAAGCCTGCTGACACACCCATTGAGATGAATCACAAGTGAAGACATGAACTAAGAACCAACCAATAAGGAACAGTACCAACGCCTTGTTGGAAGGTTGATATACCTGACACACACAAGACCAGATATTGCATATGCTGTGAGTGTGGTTAGTCAGTTTATGCATTCGCCCAGTGTTTTTCATAGGAATGCAGTTGATCGGATCTTAAGATACTTAAAGTCAGCCCCTGGGAAAGGATTAATGTTCTCAAAAAATGGAGATCTTGAAGTTGTTAGATATACATATACTGATTGGGCTGGTTCTATTACAGATAGACGCTCTACTTCTAGTTACTTTACATTCGTGGGAGGTAACCTAGTCACTTGGCGGAGTAAAAAGCAAAATGTGGTTTCTCGGTTTAGTGCAGAAGCAGAGTATTAAGGAATGGCTCACGGAGTTTGTGAATTATTGTGGATCAGAAGACTCTTGACAGAATTGGGCTTCAAGCCAGAAAAGCCAATGGAGTTGCATTGTGACAACAAGTCAGCTATCGATATTGCCCATAATCCAGTTCAACATGATTGAACCAAACATGTTGAGGTGGATAGACATTTTATCAAAGAAAAAATTGAGAAGAAAATCATCCGCCTACCATTCGTAAAATCAGAAAATCAACTGGCAAATATCTTAACAAAAGCTGTTTGTGGCAGAATATTTCATGACTCACTTACCAAGTTGGGCATTGGTGACATATATTCACCAACTTGAGGAGGAGTGTTGACGTGAGTCTCCTAATTAATCAAGGAGATTTATTTCCTTGATTAATTAAGGGATTTACTTTTCTATTCTTTATAGTTGACAAATCATTGTATAATTAGGAGATATTATCCTAATTGATTACTGTATCTATTTTCTTGTAAAGCACTTATGTAAACTCCTATATATACCTCCTTATAGAGAAGAATAAAACCTAACTTAAAGTATTCAAACTATATTTATATTTTAGCAGTATGAAATTAACAATATTTAGAGGCACTTCTGCGTCCATCAAAGCCTCCAACTCCATGGTCAGTTTAGCCTTCTCCTCATCAGTCAACATGCGTTTCAGAGCTTCAGGCTTGACACTAGTATCATTTGGTGTACTTTTCTTCTTTTTTGAGGGTGGCATAGGTGCAGCAGTCTCAGTTTCCACGCGAAGAGCCGCTCTTGAAGGCAAAGACTGCACATCAGTAGTAACTGGAAGCTTCTTCTCTATGCCTTTCCATCTCTGTTCAAAATATTTACTAATCGTCTCGGCCATAAAGTGAAAATCATTTCAAGTGGGTTGTAAGTGAAAGCATTTGAGAAAGTAAGCCGCACATCAACAACAAAACCTAATGGACATGAGTACACATGTTGACGCAGAAAAATGGTTCGGCACTTTCCCGCGTAACTTAGTGATTTTGTTTTCCTTCGGTATGCTATGGCCTCGGTAGGGAGTTATACCTGTAAGATAGCAAATGCTCGGTAAGTCCTAGGGCACCGGTGTGGTACCGGCCGAAGGCTCTCCGATGCTTAAGTAAGTACGGATTTAGTAAGTTTGGACTACAGATCAATAGGCAGTATGCCGTGAGTTCTGATTGATTACCTCCAAGCTGGGATAGTTGTCCTCTTTTATAGGCCTTGGGAGGTGTGCAATTTGCTTAGAGTTTCGATGTGGGACTGTGGACATCAATTGTGGGACTGTCACGTGTTCCAGGAGGTAAGGTTGCCCTAATCGAGCAATCGGTAGATATGATGCCAAAGGCTCCTATAGCTCCAGCTTGGTCCACGTGTCCGATGTTCATTGGCTGTTCATTTTGGTATAAATAATACACACTCTTCTACTAGAGCTCTCAAGCCTCTCCCCCTATTTCTCTCATGTACAATGTAACCTCTTAAAATACAAATACAAAGCTATAAATTATAGTGGATTTAGCCCCATTATGGGTGAACCACTCAAACACTTGTGTTATGTGTGATTATGTCTTAATCCGTTAGGTACAAATTCACCCGTTAACAATATGTAAAAAGTTCGTCTTAGCAATAACAATTCATTTTTTCTTGTAAATTGAGTTAAGGTAGAACTGAGGATCTATCACCCTTTCAAATGTGTCCATAATTTCTATGTTTGTTCAACCATCGATTGACTTTAAGTATTAATTATTATTGTTACTAATATGTTTCCTTATCATCATTTTTCACCCTTATGTTTCGTGTAAATTTTTCCGAATCAACCAACATGCACCCACGGATACGCCCGTGGCCAATCTTAGACTTGGTCATAGACAGCCCGTGGCCAATGGATGTTGGCCACAAATCACAAAACTGAGGTCCAAGCATAGTGTTGCCTTTTTGTTGTGTGTTGGTGTAGTGTGAGGTCGTTGTTTATTGACCCGCATCAATGATTATTGACCATGGCTGTTGCTCATCTTCTTCCACATTCAAATCTACAGAGAATGACCATGGCTGTTTGAGATATTCAAAGGAAGCCTTTCCTTCATCAACCTTTTTCCATTGTCTGGGAAAGTTTAAGCAGAGAGCACTGTATTGCTCCTTTCATTTTGGGCCTTGTCAAAATACTTACTTATTTCTTGGCCTTGGCCTCCCTATGATCGATCAATTCATACATTTAATTTAAATACTTAATTGGGCTATTTCCTAATGGCCTTATTACAAATTTGGATTTTTTCTTCTCCCACTAACATTGTTGATTGAATAAAAATCAAAGAAGCCCAAATATATATTATTTATTTAATGGCAAATGATCACGTCGGTGTTGAATTTGATGGCAGATGATGTTTTGGGCAAGAACAGTGAATCTAAAAGACTAGTATTTGATAATGAGAATGAAGAAACACGAGTGATGATGATGACTTGCATTATTTTATTCGTTGCCTGCTTAATTAGTCGCCTCATTACATAATTTAAATACATGCAATGTATTAACCACCAATTAATTAGTCGCCTACTTCATCTTTGACATAGACCTGCTTCATCTTCAAGGGTTGCGGCCGTTAGTGCTCCTGCTCCCATCAAAGAAGCCATTGAATTAATCTCATCTCTCAAAACTACTGGCAAATATGGCTGCCAATAAGTGCCCCAGTCTTCTTTTATTTTCTCTTCTTTTTTCCCCCTATTCTAACGTCAAGGCGTTGTCATGTTTTACTTTCTGTGCCAAGCCAGCAACGCACCCTTCTTCACGTTTCACTAATGACTTGAACAATGATATATTCACGAATTTTCTGAAACCTATTATTCTCCTCCTAGACGCAACTATATTAAATTACATTGTGTGTGTGTGTATTATTCTCCTCATATACAAATTAAGTAACACATCTCTTGATTATTCTATACACATAATTATTTACCCAAAAACATGGGTATATATCTTCTACAGTTGCTTCAATTTAGTACCCTCAACCTTTATCCTATGGGTATGTCAGTGCAGAACGCACGTGTCCCACACATATTGGAAAATTAAAGTTTTGCATAATAGTTTAAATGATCTTGGACCTCTCAAGTTATTGCAAATTAATTTTGAGTTGAATGCTCACATTCTAATATGGTATCGAAGCATACTATTAACCCGAATAACATAGCGTATTGACAACATTTAAAATTCGAAATTGGTGCAATGTGATTCTGACATACCTATGTACGTAGTAAGTACCCACACTCAATCTCTCTCTCTCTCTCTCTCTCTCTCCTCTATCTCAATCCCCCACTACCCACCTCCACCGCATGGTCCAAGCCCAGGCCCAAAATATCTCTCTCTCTCTCTCCAGAGTCAATGACCATCGATGCACTATATCAAAATTGAATTACTGTCATGCTATATGAACTCAAGTCGGATCGAAAAGTTAAATAAAATTTCACAGAATTATTTATGATTTTGATTCATAATGTGTCTAAAAAACAATTTTTATTTATACGTAATTACATAAAATGGGCAGCTAGTTAGAGTCTCCCCAAAATCAACCTAAAAATATAAAAATATGGTATGTATTTGTGCTTAATTAAACGCAACAAAAGGTCTCTTTCTAAAGTTTGTCAAATTTGGAATAATGCAGCTGTTTTCTATTCTAGTTTGATATGATTACGTCATGGAATCACCCATGCGTCACGTAAGAAAACTAGTACGATGTGATTAGACCCCTATCAATTCCACTGGTCATCACTAAGCTGTTGTTGCAGGAACCATATATTCTCTTCATTCCACAAATTCTCCACTGATAAGTCCCCACCATTTGATGACCAATAATTGCTGTGCTCAAAACCTGGAAAATCTGAATTTGTTCCGTATTGGTAGCAACCCGACCCGTTGTCTGAACCATATTGATTCGTAGATGGATTGTTCATGAATTGATCAGTAGTAGTAGGGTCCGGAATTGAACAAACTTGAAGCTGATCTGATGACTCTGATGACGTACTGCCCGATGTTTCAGGCAGGAAATTCGAGTCAATCCAGTACTGAGATTCGGATGCGGTGGTGAGACCGGTACTCTCAGTACTGGATTGACCCGCCAAAGATTGAGGCAATGCCTGGATCCGCTCAATAAGGCGGGGAATCCAGACGTAACGCATGGCGTCTTGGAATTGTTTGCTGTTGACGTCGCATTTGAGCTGCTTTGCTTGCTTTTGGACTCTTGTTCTCCAGTAGTTCTTTATCTCATTGTCTGTTCTACCAGGCAAGTATTCGGCTATCTTGGACCACCTAAATTTGATTTCCATGAAAAACAAAATTAATACAAAGGATTAAAGTTAATACAAAGAATCTAATCAATGATGAAAATATATATTGAAAACTGAGAGCTAGCTTATAATTATGTACCTGTTTCCCCAGCGAGAATGAAGTTGAAGAATTAAAAGCTGTTCTTGGAGGGTTATGTTTCCTCGTCGAACACTGGGCCGCAAGTAATTTAACCATCTTAATCTGCAGCTTTTACCAGTTCGTTTAAGGCCTGCAGGTTATTATGTAGAACTTTGTTAAGAACATATGTGTTGATCATAAGCCAAGGCATGAGTTGATCAAAGAGAATATCAAGACTTAAGCACTGGAAATTTTAACTGCATAACAATTTACGTCTAGTTATATATATTTTCAAAGGCTTGAAGGAAGAAAAATGCTAGCTAGCTAGTTACGTATGGCACCGCAATTGCTATATCGGACTCGACTCGCTATTAATCTAGTGATATTTTTCTTCACAGAACATGTCGAAAGATTACCTGCATGGCGAGCCAGTGAATTCCAGCGCCCTTCACCGTGGGTGTTGATGTAATTGAAGAGAACGGAGTCTTCCTCAACTGTCCATGGTCCTTTTCTTAAGTCGACGTCTTCTTCTTCACTTGGTATTTGATCATGAATTTCTGCTGGTGCTGCTGATGAACCATAACCTGCTCTCACGTGATCATGAACATGAACATCGGCCATGTCCATCTGGTTTGAGTTAATTTGAGGATATAGAAATTGGATATAAGAGCTACAAAGAATTCGGATTGGATTGGGGTTAGTGGGTAGGATACAGAAATTAATTAGACTTGTTCGGATTTCCTTTGGGGAATAGATTTGAATGTGATATGAGGGGTTTATATATAAGATAAGTTGAAGAGAGAAAGAGAAAGAGGTAAGACTGAAAAGAGAGAGAGAGAGAGAGAGAGAGAGAGAGAAGGATTTGGACTGACTATATTGCTAAAGAAGAAAAAAGTGGCATTTCTACTGTGCGTGTAATAGAACGCGGTCAAGACTCAATTGCTTAATAAACAATTCATATTTATTATTCTACTGAGAGAGACATCCTCCATTGCGCAAACATACAAAAAATTCCATCCATTTTTTTATATATATTTAATCTGGAGTTTGACCCTTTGACCTTTGCACCCATCAAATTCTCACGCGTGGGTCTTTTCGGTTTATTGTGAAAACTGAATATTATTTTATTTGAAGGCGTATATGGGTTTGCACCATGTGAAGAGAATGCGAGGGGCAAATCTAGAAGTAAATTAAACCTTGGGATGACCTACCAATTAGCTTCTTGCTCTAAAAAACTATGATGTGTGGTTTGGTGCATGCACCATAAACCCATGTCATTGGTCCATAGTTAGCCAAAAGTTTTAGTTATTGACTATATACGGTTTTAGGTTGACCAAAAAAGACGATTTGGTACATATGGACTTAGATGTTAATTCAGAGGGTTTCAAATAATAATTGTGTGTTTAAATGATAAAATTACTGAATTTACTAGAGGAATGAGACAAATATAGGCGGGGTGTCATACCTTAAAAAACTACTGGTTACAATCCTCAAATAGAACATCTATATACTTACAGAGGTTAGTGAAGGTAATCCGGCCTTGATGGAGATT